AGGCCAAATTATCATAGCATGACAATGTCTTGCGCCGCATTTTAGTTGTGTGCGTAAATAACGTCATGAAGTTTTCAGTTTACCTAAGCGGCCGAAATATATTTTTGGAAATGACAATATTTGCTGACTGACAGCGTGCAGTGCGAGACAATCAGTCTAATTAAATTCCAGCCAAGTCACGGTTAAGTGGATTTTCTCGGAATTTTAGGTGCATTTCGTTGGTAAAATCCAAATCTGGATTCTTGTTTCTATTTTAAGGCTGCCAATTCATTATTAAAACAAAAAAGGCCCACTTTGTGTAAAATTAAAAAACAAGAAAAAACTCGCTTGGAGAAAAGCTAGCAGACTTGGCGCTGTTATCGAGTTGCGTGTTTGTATTTATTTTTTATTGGATGCTAACAGCGCCAGGTCTGGAAGAGTTTGTCAGCTTGATGAGCTTTGAAGAGAATTTACTCCATTGAATGTCAACAAACTTCAGATTACAGTCGTAGTTTAATTGACTGATCGCAACATTCATGACATTCACAAAAATAAATGTGTTGTGATTTCCATAAATTTATAGTATTTTTCACCGTCGATGGGGTAAAATATAAACATTGAAGGAACGAACCCATTCAAGTGCAGAGGTCATTTTTCCTTTATTATTTCGCCCATGTTTGAATGAAATTTTACTCTGAAGCAGTCATTTGCAAACACAAGATTAGATCACATGACTGTATTTGGAATTCTCGTCCACAAAATTTTGATGCAAGTTGTAACTGCAACTTCTGGTGGTCAGGTGTAAAAACTGGTTGTTTCTGTTACATTGTTTAATTTGAGGTTGAAGTTAAAACGAAAATCACATTCAAGAATCAAAATATACGAAGAATTAGTTTATATCTATGCTTGGCGCATCATTACTTGTATTTTGCATAATTAAATAAATCTAATTATTCTTTATAAACAATTTAATTTTGGGCTAGCTCCTCAGACCTTTGGGCTAGTAATCTCAAGTAACAGCTTGCCTGAAGGGCAACCTTATCTTTTGATTTTCGTCGCACCCTGTTAAAGATAGCATTTTCTACTCTTTGAACAACTTGGCCCAGGTCTACTCATTTAGCTAGGTCCACTTTTCACTGTAACGTAGTGCATCCATTTAAAAAGCATAAGTCATCCTTATAACATACCAATATAATTGGCTATCACCAGGGCAATATATTAACTAATAACTATTTTCCCCAGCCATTGAAATTGTCCTCACAATTCCAGATGAAATTGCATTCCATGCTGTTCCATTATCCACCTCCCAGTTAGCTCAGTGGATAGAGCGCTGGACTGATGTGCGGGAGGTCGAGGGTTCGAGCCCCGGCCGGACCAACTTTCAAGGTCTTAAAATAATTGAGAAGAATATGCTGCCTTTCTATAACATCAAGAAATGGTTTAGATATTCTAGTCTTCTCGGATAGGGACGAATAAATGGAGGTCCCGTCTCCTGCAGGGTTAGGGGTAGGAGACGTTCATTTCCCACGCACGAGATTACTGTGTGATGGATGTCCTCCCCTGGGGTGGGATGGGTGGGTTGTTGTCTTGCGTTTCATACATGAGCCTCTGGCTCGGGCAATATGGGTAACCGTGCCCCACGTTCAAGCATTAAACTTTGATTACTATTACTATTACTGTGCTGACATTATTACGTTTGTACCCA